CACACTCCCATCAGACTTCTCCTTTCAACTGTGCGTTTCCACGCTGTCTCTCCCAACTGTCACATACGCTTCTGGTTCCAACATCTGTTCCTCCCCCTCCCAGGGAAGTTGCTCCAAAACATGCTGCTTTCTGTCTGAATGGCAGGAAGGCTAAATTTGGTTGTACACGTGGCACTACACAACCACCCGGGCTCTGGAGCAAAAGCCTTCTCTTTTGTGAGCAGGTCACATCAATTCCCAAGGTTACAGGCTTAGTCCCTCCTTATGCTGCCAGGATGGAGAGGGAGAAGCGCATCTTGCATCGTGCAGCATCGGTCAGCAGCCTCTGCTAGGCAGGGGAGCAAAGGAGAGGGATACTCGCTCCCCCTCTCAGGAAGAAGAGCTGCATTATCATTGTCTGTAAGGGTGTAAACAGCTTCAAGCAGTTTTGTCACCACGAGGTTGAACAACCGGACCCTTGCTCCACCCCAGTGCCCTGGCTGGTGGCAGGGCTGTAGTACAGCAGCACCACACCTCAGCAGCACCTCTTTGCTCTGTCCTTGGGCAGACAGAAACCCGAAATCTAGCCCTGTGTAAAACCTCAGGGCAGCAAACAGCACTCTGGTCCTGGGGTCCTACCACCCCTCTCCAAAGCAGTTGGGTGTCACCCAGCAGAGAGCTGTGAAGGCCCAGCCACGTTGCACCCAGTGATCCCCTGCTTTTAGGCAGAGAAAGGAGGTCAGCCCATGCCATGGGCCCACCAGCACCCCAGCAAGGGCTCCTTTGACACCACCACTCAGCTCTCTATCAGCTGCCAGCATATTCTCCTTCCCCAGGCACAGCACACAGCTGCACCAGGCCGCTCTGTATCTGCAGCAGGCCCCTGCACAAATGGCACAGCTGATCACAAACCATGCGAGTTAGCACAGGTGAAGTTGTCTCTTCTGTCAGCGCGGCCACTGATAGTCCCTCCTCGAACAGGAGAAGGCTTCCACAGCCTTCAGGCACACCCCAAATCAAGTGCCAGCACTTCAAGACAAAGGTTCAGAGGTTGTTTTTTGCTAGCAGGGATGTTGGTGAGCTCTGCCAGTCGTTGCAACCACAGTGAAGGAACTGAAATGCAGTTTCTATTCTATTCCCCTTTCGGCTGCTTCTAAGTTTCTCAAACAGATTCCTACTCAGGGTGAAATGTTCAGTGCTTGGTCTCAGCTCAGAGATGATTTCTTTTATTTCCCCCTGCAGGAACTGTGAGCAAAATACTAAATGCAATAGATTTGGAGTTTGGGGAGTGCGAGTAATCAGATATTTCCCCCCTGTTCCCTCTGATACCATATGTTCCAATTGGAAATTTTACACTTGCATACTGGTAACTCGTAAATGGTGGAGATGATAGACTTCAAATGTTCTCATTGAGAGGCAGAAAACAAACCCAGATTTAACAAAATAATTGGTTCAATACTGTTAAGATGAGTTTAAAGAATTCTGATAATGCTTTTCCCTTCCCTGGTGTCCCAGGAGGGACAAGTACACACGATTCATTTTAATCTATGTGCTATAATTTTAAGGATAGCTGACACAAGGTGGTCTTTGTTAAGATGTATCTATTTGCCTTAAAATCTAAAGAAGTTCAGCACTTACAGACTGCCAGAAATCACAAACCTATTATTCAAGGAACTTTTGAGCTCTGTTGTCAAAACCATCAGAAGTCCTTTAGCTGAACAGCTCCTATTCAACGCATTTGTGTGCTCATTTGCAAATCCTACAGGGACTGCTTCGAGCTTTACTCTCCTCAACTGCAAACTCACTTAAGTCTAAAGGCAGGGAACCCCAATACTCCTACAACTGTGTGGTTAGAAACCAAGCTTCTCAGAAGCAACAGCACCTTAACCTTGCCCACAAAGTCAGCTGGGTCACCTTCCATGTCAGATGGGTTTGCTTTTTTAATTCAAGGTCCCTTGCTGAAGACAGACAGCCCTGAAAAATCCCATGCAAACTTCGCATGCCTATTCATACTCCACGTGTTATTTACAAATGCACACCAAATGAACTTCAAGCACAGGTATTTCCTGATCACAAGTGCTCAATCATTATTAAATTCCTGCGTGCACAGAGATGATTCTACACCTGATCATTTCCTGTGGCAGGTTTGCTAAGGGGATGGAGGGAGACAATATCCCTCCCTCCCTTCTCCCATTAGGGCTGCATGCCACAGGGGTCTTTTTGTATGTGAGTAGGGAGTAACTGAGCAGCTGCCCAGCCCATCTTGCTTCCCCCTCTCCATCCGTGGTCCTGTTCACAGCCAAGAGTCACTATTGACAGCTCACATGTATTTAAAAGCTGGGCAGCAGATCACAACCAAGACAGACCGGCACGTCATGGCATAATAAAACAGCATACAAAATAACACTCCTTGGGCAAAGAAGTCCCACAACGTGAAACTCACCAAACACAGGGGCTGGCAGACCATCGAGGAAGCAGACGATGGCTCTCTTCCAATCCCGCTGACCAAAGAGACCCCACAGCCACCTGGAACACAGCAAGAGAGAAAAGCTCTTTAGCAAGCAGCTCCCAGACTCTCCTCTGCCTCCGTGGCATCTGGCACAAGCCAGTTTCACACCCAGAGCTCCTGAGCAGTTCGGTCACTCAGCTAGCAACACGCCTTAACGATTCATGATTGTTACTCAAGTCCCACCTGCAGGCAAGGAAGCCTCCACACCAGCCTACTAACACTTTGGGATAGCTGCGGGCTCCCTTCCCAAACCTCCCGGGTACACCTTCGTTACACCAGTTTTACAGCATGCTAATTCTATTAAGCGCTACGGAACCAATCCTGATTTATGCCAGTGGGAGGGAGAGAGTAATCAAGTCCTATGTCCTCTCCTTCTCAGCTCCCGGTGCTGCTCAGATCTCCTTCACACGGCGCTTCGTTCCAGTCAGCTTGACAGAATTACTTTGCCTCTGCATCCTTAAGCTCCGGTCATTCTTTGCTGTAATTCCTTGCAGCAACTTCTGGAAAGGTGTTTTTCTCTCTCCGCTCCCCACAATAAATGAGTTTGTCACTTGAAATATACTGCCAATGTGTTACATGTCCCACAGTGTTTGTGGTTATATCAGAAGTGTTTGTTTATAGCACCATAATTCAGCAATATCTTGATTACAGGAGAGATGGTGTTGTAACTCACTGTGGCTACAGAGAATATTATTTTTCTTTACCTTTAATATAAAATGTTGATTTTTAGTCAATACGCGGCAAGAAAAAAGTGCAGCTGTTGCCCTAGTAACCACCTGTCTTGTAAACCATGAGATGTGAGGAGCACAAGGTGTTAATTGTTCCAAGTGCTGCTTGTGGTCAGGGATAAAAGCTAGAATGGGAGAGATCAGGAGAAACACCTGGGAAGATAAAGTCAGCTGGTCTCTGCTTGGAGAAAGCCTAGACAACAGCGAGCAGGAGAGACGAGGCAGGGAGAAGTAACGCTGCCACCAGAGGAGCAAAATTAACCGAATTGTGGCTGTGCACGAAAGCATCCCTGAGCGAAGCCTCTGAGTGCACATCTTGCTTCTGGGAGCCTGACAGGTTGTACCAGACACACGCAGAGTTCAGCCCCTCCAGCACCAGATGTAGCAGCTTTTCCTGCAGCTCATCCCCTCCTTCTGACCAGACCGGTCTCCATTTCCCCTTCTGCGCTGTGTCCGGGGGTTTCCACGTGCTGTGCTCCAGGAGGCTCCTTCCACAGGTTACTCAGCGAGGAACAAGGATCCCTGCCCCGCTGCAACTGCCACCACATCTCTGCAGAGCATTTCCTCCACAGGAGCAGGCCAAGACGGAGCACCGTCCCTGTCACCTACCTGTCTTGCAAAACAACTTCGCTGCCCTGCTGAGCAGCTCTTGCTTTCGGGCTCCTTGCCCTGCACGCCACGCGCCACCTCCCTCGCTGCTCCTGCCGCGTGCTCGTCCCGGCCGTGCTGCCTGCTGAGAAGTTGGAGCAGTTGGTCACCCGGTGGGCAGGCTGAACTCTGCAAAGCATCTGTGTTTCCACCCCAGCCTCCTACGGGACGGAGCCTCTCAGCTCCAGCAGGCTGCATGCTGGGGCTGGGAAAGCAGCACCAGAAGGGCGCCTTCTGCAAAAGGCCTCCAAGGGAGGAAGGCTGCACAAGGGCTTCTCCCCCATGTCTCCTCTCTCACTAAAACGAAAGCAAGCTGGCAAGCCAGCAGCCTCACGCTCTGCAGCATCTGCCATCTCTCCCTTCCGTTCCCCCCCTCCCAGCCCCTGCAAGCTGGAGAGCAAACACGACTGCTGCTGGATCTGGAGGAAAGTTTTCTACTTCGGCCCCTTTTAACCATTTACCTGCTCTGGACACCCACTGAACCTGCCCGTATCTGCATTCCCTTAGGAAATAAGGACAGGGAGCACAGCAAAAGCAGCATATTTATAAGCTAAGCCCCTCCCAGGGGGCAGAGTTATGCTAATGGAGGAGCCTCTGTCCCAGTGCGTTGCATGGATTGCATGGCAGTAACATATGGTGCGGAGGGCTTCAGGCCAGCAGCCTCGTGTTCTGCACGCCGCAGCTTCCCTGGCACATGTGGCTAGGAGCAGTGTCCAGCCACGGGCACACAAAGTCAGTGGGGCAGGGCCAAGGTCCTGCTTTGACCTGAAAAGCAAAAGGAGGGGACACCAGTGTTGGTGCCCACATGGGCTCGAGGTTCCAGAGATAAATTCCTGATGCCTTCTTGGGGATTTTTTCCCCCCAGCCCCCTATTTTTATTTTTTCAACACTTGGCATTCGTGCTTGGTCATATAAATATATATCTCAGTGAGACACACCACAGTGAGCCACCCTGCATGCCATCTAACAATGCTTTGTCACAGTGGTGACAAAGACTAAGTCTAGCTACACAACCTTGATATTAAACCTTGATATTTTTTGATATAAAAAAGGTTATTTTATTTTATTTTATTTTATTTTATTTTATTTTATTTTATTTTATTTTATTTATTTTATTTTATTTATTTATTTCTCTTGTTCCTCCTGGTACAGCCACCTCAGGCCCTCAGCACAGCCTAATGCAGACCTCTGCCACTGACCGGGACTGGGATTTCTGCCATGCATCCTTTACACTAAAAAAACACAATCTGAGCTGAGAAACCATGAATTCTTCCAAGCAAAGACTGTCTGGGCAGTGCTTCACATAGCAGAGCCACGTTTAAACACAGGTCTCAGAGTAAGACTGAAAAATAAAGATGAATGAGTTCGGTCGGGTAATTAGATAATAAAATTGAGGGTCTGGAGTTTAGCCCAGGAACATAATCCAGTGTGTATGGCTGGCTAGTCTGCTCCCTTTCCTATCGCTAGCATCACCATCTTGACTTAGCACTGAGATCTGCCCTTCGCGTGGAGTCCAAAGACAGAAATGCATGTAGGCAGCCCAGCCCGGGTACAAGTGCAGGAAGGGATCAGTCTCACCCTGTCCCAGTCTCCTAGCAGCTGCGTTTGTTTACCCTGGGTGAGCCGGAGGAGTGCTGCGGGACCTGGTGGACTCGCCTGCTTCAGCAGCGCCAGTAACCGTACAAGCAGAACAGACCCCATCCCAGGGAGGATTTGCAAGAGGCGCTGTGTTTGGCAGCACAGGGGAAGCGTTTGGGGGCTGGCAGTCTGTCCGAGAGCTTGAAGGCTCCACAGGGCTCGTTTAAGCACAGTGGAATTCATCCCATGGCGGGTGTGAGGGACAGCCCCAGATCTCTCTGCACAGGCCCCACCTGGGTAGAGCTGGCTCAGGCTCAGAGATATGTTTGGACAGAGCCAGAGCTAACCCTCGTGCATACCTCACTGTGTAAGTAAATACTAAACGTAGCTATGTGCAGGGTAGTGTCTAAGGGTGGAAAGGGCAGCGCACTCAATCTGAAAGGAAAACTGCCGTTGGTTTTGCTTTCTGGAGTGACTGCTTTCCTATGCTCAGCTTTCAAATTTCCACAGAGCTGAAAAGCAAAGCAGAGGCAAGTTCTCTTTGACTCGGGAAACCCTTCAAAACTAAAGCAAACCCTTCTGAAAGGCAGACTTTGTCAGCTGCCCTATTTTTAGGATTGACTCCTACAGGTCCTTCCTTCAATGATAGCAGCTTTGCCTGAGCAATGACTAGGGACTGCAGGATTTAGGCTTTTAATAAAGCAATTGTGTAATTAAAAATAAATGGGTCTCTAGTGTCACTATTTAAAAAAAAAAATCTTAGATCAAATAAGGCATTTCTTTCTTTTCGGTTTAGTCTGCTTGGATCATGCAGAGCTTTAATGACGCAGTCACAAATGTTGTATTTAAAAGGCCTCTTAGTTGCTGAGAGGAGCCCCAGGAGAGGGCTATTAACTGGCCAAATTAGGCTATTTATTTTTGTGAGTTTTGCAAGTTTGAAAAAGAGAGGCACATTTTCACTTAGGAGAGTGATATTTCAAATAGGTCACAGGAAACTCTGGCAGGCGGGGAGCAAAGCAGAGCGTCAGTAGGAAAACATTAACCAGAGACATTTTGCAAGTGCAAGTCGACATTTGGGTTCCTAATGGCTTCTGAAGTCCATTCAAAAATCTTTCAGTGGATGTAAAATAGGGGCAAGACATCGCAGCTGTGCAGGAGCCCTGGCCTAATCCCGAAAGTCTTTAAAATGGCAGAGCTGTGGCTACGGGTGCTGCTGTGAGAGGACCCAGTGTTGTCAGCAACAGCAGACAGGCTCGGCAGAATGTATTTGAGGGATGTGGACTCGACCTGTTGGTTAGGAAATAGCTGGTGCTTGCACAGATGGCCGGTCAGTGCTGAAAATTCACTGCACCTTGCCCTCCCCCAGCTTGGGTTTTAAATCTTCAGAGAATCAATAAGTTTCATCTTCCTCCCACGTAATCACAGCCCAGAGCAAATCAGGAGCAACTTCATTAAAGCATACAAAGCAAGCTGCATGCATGACTTAAGAATCAGGCACAATACTCTTTAAATACTCGAGGGCTGTTTTGAAAGGGCTTCTTCTATATGCCACCTCAACAGGAGTGGCATGCCTGCCAGTTTCATGTTATTTCCTCCTTTTCACATTTGCAAATAGGATCAATTAACTTAAAGTCTGCTCAGGAATGATTCAAGTGAAGTTGCTTTGAAGACACTGGCCCCTCTCCCATTGACTTCAGCAGTGCTGAATGAAGCTACTCAGGAGCTGATGAAGCTGTGGGGTAACAGCTATTGCTTGGTTCTGTCCCTTCTCCAGCAGGGCTGGGAATCCTTGAGCTGCTGCCCCACAAGCAAGGAGCACCACTGCATCTACACATGATGGGAAGGCTTTGCAGAATCTCAAACATTATGAGAAAATAAATGATATAAGGTAATAAAAGCAGGGTTCCTAGAAAATGATACCTAACAGATTCCTGTCCACCAGCCACAGAACTCATAAAAAAAAAAAAAGTTGAAGAAAAAGTAACCATATATCTATTAGAGCACTATCTTCTACAAGTTCTTTCCTCTATAACCCAGTTAATTTAGGACTCTGGGGACTTGTATGTTTGAAGCTCTCAGCCCCCCATTATTTGTCACATCAGTACTTTGGTCAATGAATAACAAACCTCTGTCAAACACCTTTCTGTGACTGCAGCAGGATGGGCTATCAGTGCCACATTCTCCTTCTCCAGCTGGGTAGCCATGTGTGGTTGTAAGCCCTTTATGTGCAGCATTTCCACAGGACCGCAGGTTTTTACAGCGCAGACAAAACATTTACTGGATGAGAATGAGGGAGCTGGCACTGGAGTGAAGGGAGCTGAAAGGGAAACACAGAGTACACAGCTTCACTGAAAACCTCCTCGGTCAATACACAAAGCATCAAACAGACCTGACTCCTAGCTTTAGACTTCCAGTAATTATTGTTCTCTCTCCCATCATTGAACAACCCATCCTATATAAAACCTGATTAAACCCAGTTTCTGGCACCATGAAGCCGTGGACCAGACTGTGAACACCACTGTGCAAGAGAAAAATGGGTAGAGGGAGTCCCTTCAACCATGCCAGAGAAGAAAACTCTGCTCCAACCTACATCACTGGTAGTGTGTGAGAGGGCAGGCATTAAAGCATACTCTGTTTTGCAGACGTGGGAAGGGAATTTATAGGTGAAGGAAAAGGACAAACACACTGCTTGTCCACGTGGCACGAGGGGAGCTATAAATATTGTGATACTCGCCTCCAGGAACTCAGGACAACCTCTGCCCTAACTCATACCACACACTGTCCCTTTGGACTTTTTACTGAAGCTATTCAGGTTGCTCATGACCGGCTCAGCTGGCTCAATGGTTTGTTATTCCCTTTAAAAATATACTAGCAGAAGCAGTCCTTTTCAAGAAGACACCAAGACTGGTGCTCAGTCTCAGACAAACATACTGGAGCTCCAGCTTCACATATTGTGTGGTTTTATAGCCCTATTCTGCTGGGCCTTGCATCTGCAGTCGTGCCTCTAGGTCTATTCTGCATACTAGCTCACCCAGTATTATTTATTTAGTAAATAAAACTTCACTGATGTTGTAGAAATACATTTGCAATACATTAACAAGGCCTTAATATTAATCAAAAACGTTTTTAGAGTCTGTTCAAATGTTTGGTGTAAAAGAAGTAGCAGGTGGCAAAGGTCACCAAGTAAATGAAGCCCTCAGGAGAAGTTAACTGTTAGATAAAGAAAAGACTGAGGATGATCTGAGAGATACTAGAAACCACGCTTTCTTCCAGGACCTTGTGGCTCACACCATGTGCTATATAACATATGCAAGACTACCACTTAAAACAACCAAATATGGGTCTGAGTCTGAAGAAATAATTCACCCTTTTCCCACAGACGGGCACAAAGTGCATTACACCACAGTGCAGTCCTGGGACCAAGAACTGTGCTTTGGCCCACAGGCCTGTATAAACAAAAGGATGGTCATTCTTTAATGGGTTCAGCAGTGATTCAATGCATTTTAGACCCTTGCAGGGACTCCTCACACTGGTGGCAGAGCAGCAGCCGTGTCGCCATGTGGGCACAGCGCTGCCCAGCCTGTGGTGGGCCCTGGCCCAGGACAGTCACAAAATGGCAGCTCCTGCCCCACCGCCATGTCAGAAGGCGAGAGGAGAAGTGGCCAGCGTGGGCCCAGGCAGCTTTGCCTTCCCCACTGAAGTGCGAACACGTTAATTCATGGATGCTTTGCTGGCAGTGTCCCTCACAGAAACCTCTCTGTGGCCTGTTTTCTTTTTGTCTCTGTTTCCCCATTCAGGAAAAAGCTTCTGTCACAACAGCTGCTGATTCATTTTCTGACTTGGTGCCGAGCGTGCCAGACATAACATTCGTTTGCTGCCAAAGTGGTAAAAACAATGACTTACCAGCTCATTTTTCTTCAGTTGATTATGTTTGGGTGGGGGAGGGGAAGGGAGAAAGGTTCTTTAATTAAAATTAGATAAGGAGGAGAATAAATCCAGTGAGATGCAGAGAATAAAGCTCCGAAAGGCACAGGAGAGGGAAAGCATCTGAAGGGGTGAGGTGACACCCATTGTCAGATAAAGGGAAAGAGAGGGGTCCCTGGGAAGATGGGGGCCTCTCAGGTCATTCACTGCCCTGCATGAACCTTTCCCTTCTCGCTATGCTTTCCTCCATCAGGTGTCAGCCAATTCTCAGACCAGTAACTCAGATCCGACACGATGCCTTGCAGATAGAGAGGAGCGAAGCTGCCCCAAGACAGCTCCGATGGGGCAGACAAACCCACCAGCGTTTGATCCTCCCCACCTTTCTTTCCGGAATGAGGGAGTCCCATCCTGGATATCTGTTTGCTTCTTAAAATATCCACTATTTTTTTTTGCCTGGTAAATGGGCCCTGTGTTGACATCTTCCCACATCTTGGAGGTGGTGATCACTGACTGAGATTTTGGCTTGCTTGTTAGAGGGAGGTAGACATGAGAGAGAAAAGGGCCGAGTCTGGATGTGATGAGTGAAGTCTGACCTGTTAGACTCTCCAATATTTTTCTCAGTATTTGACAGGGTGCTTTGGACACATGGGAATGAAGCTGATCCATATTCCCTGACCTCAGTCATTTGCCATAGGTCATATTTAGAAATAGCTCACCAGGTCACTAACACTCATGGCAGACATCCAAGTGACACTTAGATGCCAAGAAAACAATGGCACATGTAGCCTGACCACAGTACTGTCCTACTGATGTTTAGCAACAAATTAATTCCCTATCAGACTAGTCTATCTGCAGCCAACACAGAGAAAACAGTACCCTGGGCCAGTTCTACTGGCCAAAATGGGTGGAAAAAAACATTAACTCTCATATTTAATTTCTCTAATACTTCTATGAGGAGTTAGTATAAAACACAGCACAGTGAAGTGCTGATCCCCTACTTGGAAGGCTTTGTCTTCACAGTCTTCAGATAATGACCAAGCCAAGCTGCTGTCCTCCAAGTAATTTCTTCCCATGGGGCTTGTTTCAGTTCTTATTTGAAAAGGAATGGTAGTCAATCACATCAAGGCAATGCAGAAGAGTTGTGGTAACCAGTACCATGGGCAAGCACCAGCTATGGAAGGACCATTCAAAGCGTTTATCAAGACAGAGCTATTATCATCACATCTAATGACAAAAAAGACTACGTCATTCAGAGCACCAGAGGCTATAGGAGAGATTTTTATGGCAGCTGAAGAATAATCATTCTCGAGGTCTTTGGCTAACTGTGCAGTGAGATAATATGATTCAAATCAAGGACTCATTAAAGGCTACTTATCTAACGCCCAGTAACCAATCCAGACATATAAGGAGGAAGTGCCTTACCTTTATGATTAGGAAGCTCTTGCACTCTTTGCTTTAGATGGTTGCTTGCATTCTTTACTTCAGGGGAATAAGAAGAATGGCTATTTGGGAATACAAAACCTAACGTCAAGAAATTGTTCTTGTTCACCAGAGAAAATGAAAGAGATTCTCTAGTATCTCTTGAGCAGGAATGAAGGATTTTCAAGAACACCAAACGAAGCACTTAGTTACCTTCAACAAGCTATTGAAAAAGGCTGTCTGGCTTTTTGGAATATTTTTGGAAATTCATCTCATTATGTCAACTTCTATTCAGACCCTAAAGGGAATATTTTTGCCACCATCTTCTCCCAGAACTGGGATGAAGAGAATTGAAATTTCTTGGGTTCTCTGTTCTTCACTCTGCTACACAACTAAACTACTTTTTTTCTTGACTTGGTCTACCTGTATCATTTCACAAGGGCTTCTGCACACTGTCCTTTGGATGGCATTGCTAAATTACTTTGCTCTAGCAAAATATTTGTATTTTAAGAAAATCTCCAACTCAACCAACCATATTATGACAACACACACTAAGAAAGATTTCTCCCCTGCCATTATCTTTTGCTGATTCAGATCCTGCAGAATGCAATACTGTACCACAGAGCAACACTCATGCTGCAGATCAACATACCTGTCCATCCAGAGACACTCTGGTCTTCTTGGCTTTGGTTGGACCTATAATTTCTCAGCACCTTTGCAAATTAGACCCAGAAACTAAAACATTAAATTGTATTGCTGTATAAGGACCTTCATTTCCAAGCTTTTATCTGCAGGAATGATATTGCCATTCTATACACTAAACCTGTTTTTGTAATACTATGGTTCATCAGAAGTTTTTATGTTAATGCCAAATCAGAAATAATACACATGTGATTCATAATAATCTAACTGAATGGCTGCACTGAATGTATTGCAAGAAATTCTGGTTAGGAAAGAAACTCATTAAAGAAATAGTGACTACTATTATCCCGCTGCATATATTGTTCTACTGGAAAGTTTCGTTGAGTAGTTTCTTTAATTAGCAATTTGATATTTTGAAATAGTCTGATCTCCACTACACGCAATTTGTAGAACAGACTTGGCTGGCAATACAGAGGAAAACAAGCAATCTTTTCAGAGTTTGCATCTCTAGGGCATATCTTGTCATTTTCCATCTATTAAGCTGCTGAATATATGTGTATAGCACAGTGACACTGTTCTTGTGGGATTTTGATTTTTAAAAGTTACATAGATAAACAGCTTTTATTTTATTTTTAAACTGGAATAGGATATATTGTCCTTTTTTCCTTTCTTTTCTTGAGAAAAATCCACATAAAATATTTGCATAACTTTTGGCTATTCAAATAGAAGGTGTTTGACCCCAGCTGTATTCCAGTGAATGAATCATTTATGTAGGAGCTCATTGCACAGAACGTATGGTATTTTATCTTTGCTGGTTTTCTGCCAGATACAGTCTGTAGCAATTTTTCCCCTTTGCCACATTTGCCGCTTGATATCCTTTAAAATATACCAGCTCCAAGTGTGAGAAAGCAAAACAGATTCTGGGCCTGCTCTGGCTGAGAGCTCTTTGTGCACACACTCCTGTACTGGCACCGAGGCTCTGCTGCTGTTGGAGAACGTCCACTCCAGATCTGGGATCTCCTCGCGCCGATTCCTTTGAACCAACATTGATTTAGACTTCACTTGAATCTGTGGGGGACTGCAAAAGCCCAGGAGTGAGCAGAGAAACAGGGATCCTCTGTATAGAAAACAAGAGCTGCTCCAAGGCAGAGGCACAAACTTCCATTACCTGAAGCATGCTAAGCTCTGTACCTGCAGGGAAAGCCAGGAGGAAGGGAGGGTATTTCTGACATAACTGTATGCTGTTCCAGCTCACCTCCAGGTGTCACTTAAGTGGTATTTTGGCAAGATACATTTCGACCTACAATAGCAGGGAACGAGATTATTTCATTAAGTTATTGAGGCATTGCACAGCCAAAGCCACTATTACACTAGGTTTGATTTGAAATGGTAAGTGAGAGGTCAAGCTTTCTCAACACTGATCTCCCGGGGGAGAAGAGATAAGGTGGAACGCAAAGATTTCCACGCTCCCACATGAGTAAGATAAGATCTGAATGAGCAGTCTCATCCGTAGGTTGCTTCCCTAAGCATTTTTTTTTTTTATAGCTTGTACTGGAAACCCTCATACCTCTCTACACTGATTCACATAATTACGGTTTCCACAAGAAATTCAGAGCAGGATCTCCTCCCACGAAATTTCCTCTCACCTGCACTCCTTTCATCACCAAAGATGACTGTTTGTCAGCAGTACCTCTACTGCTGAGAGAACTCACATGCAGCTCAACTCCGCAGCCAACACAGGCGAGAATATTCCCCCACGTGCAAGCTTCTAAAATGCTCTCCCATGACTGCGCAAGGCATGAAGGTCCCCATCAGGAACTGTTTGTTCAGGTCATATTTCCAGTCTCCGTGTGTTCTCCTTGTCAAGCAAGGGACTGCTTTTACAACAGACAGCCTCCTCCATCAGGAGGTTACTTACCAGTTTCCTGGGAAAGGCTTGCTCAGATGGTGGTGTTGCAGACAGGATGCTGCCCCATTCATCTCTGCCAACCCAGCTTTCTCATGACTGAGCTGTTCTCCGTCATAGGAGGCTCCCTCTTCATTACGCCCTTCCTCCCATGTAGAGCAGAAACATATCATGGTTAAAGTGACCCTAGGTAAATGCTGAGTACAGACAAGACACAGCTTTGAAAGTCACCAGTTAATTCATCTTTCAAAAGCCGACTATTTCTGATGCCGAATGCTTGCTCCCATCCCCTCAGATCAGAAAGCTGGGGTTCATAAACAGCTCCACAAGGCTCTTCCCGAGACCAGCCCAAGAATTTACATTGACATACATGCCTCTGCTATAGGCAGAGTTAAAAGCACCACTATAATTACAGCTGACTATTGTATAACTCTGGTTTTGGTTGCTCATCTATAATTAATTGTTTAGGCTGAAAATTTCTTCAGCTGGGTTTGCCCTCAGGCTAAACTTTTTCATTTCAGCTGAAATGGCTCGAGTCTTTCCCAAGAATGTGTTTGAGGGAAAAGATTCTCTTTTGCCCCTGTTAAAAGGATCTTTTTGTCATTTACTGATATCTTCCCACACTCCATACTTCTAAAACAGCACTGTGAAGCACTGGCAGCCTTGGCTGCTGTGAAATGCATGTCCTTCCATATTCCTAGGGAGGAAAAAAGAAATATATATATATATATATATATCAGAATTTGGCTGTTTTCAGCCTCACTCTCATAAATATCTGCAGACAGACAGATAGATATAGATACATGTATTTGCTATTTTACACATGCGCAGCAGAGATCCAGCAGCTACTTTGGCTGTCCTCAGTGCTGAGCAAGCTCCATGCTCCTCTGTGCCAGGCACTGGTGAGACAACACATGGGGCACCTGGCAGGGCCTGGGGATGCTCCTGTGGCTGCAGGAGGGATCTCACTGCAAGTGTTCCCTTCAGCAGCAGGGCCTCTGCAGCAGCTGGCCAGAAGAGAGCTAGAAGATGGTTTAAGCTGAGCTCTCAGTACATATAACCAGTGAAGAGAGAGGAGAAAAAAAAAAAAAAAAAAAGAAAAAAAGAGAGATGGTTGGACTTTAGTGTAGAGAGGGCAAGGCATGCTAGGAGGTCGGAGGAATGAGATGGTAATAGCCACACTCAGAGAGAATCTAAAGAGGGAGGAACGTCTCTTAATTAAGGTATACAAATCCTGTGCTTAACTGAACTCTCTCGATCCCTTCCTGGCACTGCTCTGTGATGTATGGGCCACTTAGCCCAAGGCTTTCACTAATGCACATTTGCTTCTCCTGAACCCTTCCTGTGCAAGGGTCTCACATGGAAAGCTGCTAAGTGCTGAAGTCACCGAGAGCTGAGCTTTGAACTGTGGCGTCAAACATCCTGCCACAGCCTCTGGAACACGAGGTATCCAAAAGGGTACATAGCTCACAGACTCTCTGTGCCTCACCTCCCCCTGTGAAGTGAGGATACAGATGCTCCATCTCCTTTAACGCCAGGGAAGCAGCTAGGAAAAAGGGCTTGTGATTAGCCTGCTTCCAGAGCATGGTAGGAACCATGCACAATGAAGACAACCCCGGGTGCACTCGGAGCAGCGATGGCAAAATATTCAAGAGCAGCTCACAAAACAGCTGCTGACTACTGTGGTTAGCCAAAGAGGTAGAGGTGGATAAAACGAGTTTATGATCATTCATTAAAGAAGAGCACAACACAGCTCAAAAGGCCTGAATGCCATCTGCGCAAGCAACCTTCACCTATTCTTGGGGAACATCTGAACTTGCAGTGTTATGACAGACTAAAGACTTTGCTGCAGCCTTTCAGAGAGGGCATGTGCACAGTGACTTCTTGTCACACAGAAAAAACGTCTCACTGCTGACAACAAACTCCAGAAACACAGGAGTGGAAGTCTTGGAAAATCTGAACAAAACCTTGCAAATTATCAAAATAGATGCCAATAGAGCCCAGAGATGTCATTAAGAAAAAAAGGAAAACCATCACTTAGCCGCCTAGGAACTAACTTGAAAAGCAAAACGGGCCCACTCTAAAGCAGAAATTAAAACACTTAGCGACAGGCTCTTACTACTCTGTGAACATGAGTCAGTGCAAGTGAAAATGGTGCACAGATGGGCCAGCACAGAAGCAACAGAAGTGCCGTGATATTTACAAGGGGGAAAAAAAAAATCTTCCCTTACAAGTGTAAATATACCAGAGAAATCATCCGCTTGCAGTACAAACCGGGGCTTTGATGTAGCAAACACTCCCACCAGGGACAGCGCTGGCTCGACGGGAGGAGTGGGGATGGTAGACGTTGCATCTGGAAGGCAGTAGGCTCACAGTGCTCAGCTTTCCCGAGGAGCCACAACAGGCAGAGACATGCCAAACGACACATACCACTTTATAGTCTTCGTGCAACCAGCAGAGAGGGCCAAGCACGGACCCAGGCCATGGAGAGACGCTAGGAAGGGGAGAAACGTGGTGGGCACTGGCTCCAACACCTGCACCAGCAGCATGAGAGCTCCACCAGCCCAGGCTCCAGGTGCACCCAGCCCTGAACAAACCGCATCCCCTTGCGCCCCAGCGATGTGACAGCTTACACGTGAATCCAGGATGGTGTTGTTCTGCAAGTGGGTGGTGTTTTGGGGTCCCCCACTGTCTCCCAGAGCAGCGATGGTGAGCGCTGTCTTTTTCTGCAGCCTCTCTGAGGTCGCTCCATCAGTTCGCAGCGCTGAACTCCGGGCAGATCACGTTTCTTCCCACCCGTCCTCCCCTCACCTGTAAAACAGCAGTAACAATATTTACACTTCTGCAGTTGGCTCAGGATCGGGGACTGAAAGCCTAATTATCATCAGTGTTATTCCCTGAGGAGCAGCTCGCGGCCTGACCGTGGCAGAAGCATTAACGGAGCCCAAACAACGGGCTGCGTTCCCACAGCGGAGCCGCGGGAGATAGCACAAACCTCACCCCCGTGGTTAAAAGGTCTGACAGCCCTGAATGGGAAAGAAACAGCTTGCTGATCGCTCACCAACTCGCCCACAGTGAATTAGCACAGAATTTCAGACCTGGTTTCCACGTGGGCCCACCAAAACCTCCTTCCCCTTCAGCTGCCGCGTGCTGCTGACCCTGCAGCATCACACACACTTGCATTCAGCAGGAAAACTAGTTTTAAACAATAAAAACAACTTGCAGAACCTCTTCCCTCCCCTGGGTCCCTCTAACAACTCCTGTGGGCTTGCACTACATTGTCTCGCCCCCTAAGACTTTTCTCTCCCCAGGTGTTGTGTGAAAGGCCAGAGCACAGCAGGCAAAATTAATAGAGCAGACAGCAACTCTGCCATCCAATGAACAAAACGAAAGAGGAACAGAGCCTTACACTGAGAGTCACCCCTAAGTGTTTTACGTGACAACAGTAAGGAAAGCACAGCCCAGGCTGTTGTTTTAATGTCGATAATATTCCAAAATCCGCAGCGCTTCGTAATTTCTCAGTGGAAATAAAACCTTTGACATCGGTGGGAATTCTGCCTGGGCACGGGGCACGGTTGCTACATTCCTGTGGAGCAATAAGAGGCTATTTTGATGGCCAGACCTTTAGCACTAAGGTCATGCCTGCCCGAAGCACCTGAGGCTGCAGGGGTCTGGATGTACATGAGGTCTGTGGGAGCTGACGATGTGCAGAGGACAAGACTTAGGTCAAATTGTGTCGGACCTGAACACATCCGTGCACACACGTGCTTTCTGCCGAGGCTTGTGCTAGCACAGAAGCTCTCCTACCCTCTTATCGGCACGGTTACTTCGCAGTCACCTTCTGCCCGATGTGCCAGGCCCCTCTGCTGGATGGCAGCTGCTCTTTTGGTGCGGGCGTGTTTGCTCGGGGCACACATCCCGCTGCTCTCCTGCAGCCTGGGACCGATGCAGCAAGGCTGTTAGATCGCATTTAAATATCAGGGTGATGATAAAGACGACGGGAGGCGAGGGAGTAAGCAGGGGGTAGGAAAAACATTACGATCACAGCAACAATAAGAGGGAAAGGAAAAGAGTTAAGCTAAAGACAAGGAAAAAAATCAAAGCTGTGTGAGCGTAAATCGGAATCACTTGAGGCATGTGTCAAAATAGTGTCAGATCTTTTTCTGTTCATTAAGTCAGCATTTATACACCCACCAGCTCCTCTTTTTGCTAGCCCGGGATTTCTGCTACAGCTGGAGCTGCACTTTGCGGCATCCCCACTAGGAACAAGCGGGTCTGGAGGCAGATCTGCTGCTCTGCAGGCGCTGGAAGGGAGGGAGCCCTGTGCCATCACTGGTGCCACCAGCAGGGGTCAGATCGCCTGTTCCCCGAGCTGCAGCACAGGGCAGCAGCCGCTGCCACAGATCAGAAAAAAAAAAAAATAATAATAATAATTATATATTTAAAAAAGGCCTGATTTTTAAAGATTTTCCTATTTTTAAGTCACGCATTATAGCAGTTAATATATGTCTCCTAGGGGCTGATAAAATAAAATTACCCCCATAATTCTGAGTTAAAACCAGTAAATTTGTATCAGTCCAGGTAATATGGAGCAAGCCTGAGCAGTCCCCAGCAAGGGAACCACTGGGTGCTGCTCTGAGAACTCACCCACCTCCAGTACTTGCTGTTTTTAAACTCAATCTCACCTTTATAGAGGAGTCACAGAGACAGCACCAGGCACACAAACACCTTTCCATTGGGTGTTTAGCCTCTTACAAGAGGTAATGTAAAATTACTACTCAATTACAACATTTTATAGCAAGTTTAAAAAACAAACAACAGCAACAAAACAACGCCAAACTTTTTAGATGCAATATGATTGTTTCCTTTTTGAAAAAAAAATAACTTGTTTTACACTTCACAGAACTTTTCCATTAAAGGTTGAACGATTAGTAAAGAGGCAAACTGTTATTTATAGAAGAGGGATAACATATTAGACTGAGGCCGTGGTAGTTTCCTAGGACTGTATTTTGATGAAAGTCCATTTTTAGTGCTTTTGGCCTCAAAGCCCTCCCCAGGGGACACGTACAATTTAGCTGTGTGAAGTCTCCTTTAGGTTTGGGAGCCCAGCAGGTACAGCCACCCCTTTCCTCCAAGGGCCTGCACTCAGGATTTGCCGAAAAAGCCACTTTCCTCCCAAGCAGCATCAACCCAGCACTACCTCTGCCAGTGCCCACTTTACCACTACACTCACCCAGCCACATCCATCACCCCTGCCCTGCCTGCGCGAGGGAAAAAGCAAGCAGACACCTTAACTGCCTGACATTACCACTTCTACACCCAGATTTCCACACTTCCCAGCCTGAATAAGGCTGCTTTATGCCCCGTGTTATTGCTGCAAGTCATGCTGCACACTCTCAGCAACAGGAACCAAGATTTTGGTGAAAGCAAGTTTGTTTGTTTGAGGTTTTTTTCCCTCCCCTTTAAAAAAAAGGAAAAAAAAAAAAAACATTCTCACTGTCAGTAACTATGCACATTCCTTGCCAGTCCTCGGTCAGCCAAAAAACACACGAGGTCTTTTTGAAAACCTCCGTTCTGCGCAATGAAGTTATTAACTGCTGGGAACGGCAGGAAAGCTCTTTTACAGCTGCTCATTGATCCACTGGACATCACCTCACACTCTTTCACCCCTTTTGGATTCTGCAGGCTTCTGGAGTAGTATGAGAAAAAAATTAAAATAAAAAGCTTGGCCAAAAAAGCAGTTATGCTGCTTCTCTAGACATGTTTTCTTTGGGTTCGGGCCTGGGGTTCTTAGCCAGCGATTTTTGTCCCTAGTGGAAAGTTAAAAAATATAAGAAAAACAAAACACACACACACACACACAAAACACCAGGTTTCGCTGCTTTTCAGGAATCTAGAGAACAAACACGAGTTGCGAATTGACCCCAATGCTCCGGCGCCCTTCCACTTGAGATCACAGTCATTTTGCAAAAACAAAGCCCTGAACTCTCCGCCAGGCAGCCCCGCAGTGGGTCCGTGCCCCGCACTGCCCCAGCACCCGTGCCCTGTGGGATGCAGCCCTGCGCCTGCTCCATCCTCGCGGGCGTCCCCATCGGCCACGCTGCGGCTTTAATGAGTCCCAGAAAGCTTTTACGTAGGCACCCTGGATTGTGTCAGCTACTCCGGTTTCAAACAGGTGCACGTAAGACCTGTTTTAAGCGACTGGCTAACGTCCCAGCGTAGAGGAAGCCAGAATTAATTCTCTCCCTTGAATTTACAATTCAACATTTTTATTCTAAAACTGTACGCTGATGCTTGGGGACCGGCAGGTGCATTTAATCAATACCCAAACCATAAACAATCAGTCCTGTTTCTTCTCATTCCTGCTCTCTCTAGCATGAGCACGCCATCCCTCACACCAAATCCGCCGCTGAGGTTTCATTCCTCTTCCCCTCTGAAACAGGGCAGACAGCTGATGAAGAGCCAGCACTCACCTTGACCCAGACTCGGAGCTTCATCAGACTTTCTCAGCAGGAACAGTCAGGCTTGAAATGAGAGGCAGTGCTTGGCAGGTGCTCCCAGGAGACTGGCCAAAAATAAATGGACTCTCCAGTTAATTTCCACGCTCCTACTACGAACACTTCTCCTTTAAGAGTGCAGTTCAGGCATTTGATTTACGCAAGGCAAGGAGGTTCTTTATTTGTTTGCAGTAGCAGTACCAGACCTGGCGTACAATAGGGAATATTCATACCCCTTTTAAGCACCTACTTAAGGTGCCCAGGCTCCCTATACAGACAAGAGATCTTTTAGGGTGGGATTCAGGGTGCTGTAATTAGCAACCTGCCTCTCACCTTTGAATATATCAGGAGTCTAGACATCTAATTTAGGCAGAAAAACTGGAGGCTTAAAATTAGCCGGTACAAATAGCCCCACCAGTGCACCCACACTGCAGTGGACCAGGCAAGAGGCAGCAGGTGATCTCTAGGGGTATGGTTGCAGCCAGTTGTATTTGCAAGCCCGGAGAAGCAGAGGGATGCTGTTTGCAGGCTGTGACTTCCACCACGCAGCTGCAGCACAGCCCGAGCCTCCTTCCCCAGCTCAGCTGGTGCGTTTGGGGGCAGCAGCCCAGGAAGGCAGTCTTTGGGAGCTCAAGCTCTAAAGAACGAGGCATTTAGATGATTTGACCAAATGTGTTCCAGCTGCGTAAGGGAATTAAAAAGACCCCCAAACTGGCAATTTTTTATTATAAAATAAAATGTTGTTTTTGGAAATGATGTCATAAAACAACAGCATCTCAGGCAGGAGACGGACATGGGTGGAAATGTAATTCTGCTTCTGAAATTGCTCATTTTAAATTGTGTGTAGTATTTTCACTTTCCATTACAGATAACAGTGTAGCAAGGCTGTGCACTGCTACATGACAGCTCATCCTGCTTTTAAAACAGCCACACTTCAGCAGCAGGTAAATTGATGCTTTTTATGTGTCCGTCACTTATCAAAGGTAATTGACTGGGGCCTGCAAGGGGTTCACTGGGATCTAACAGATTACATGTTCTGAGCCTGCTAAATTATTTGAACAGATTTAGCAAGAAAAGGATTCTGAATCTGATTTTTGTTTGACCCAATGTTAGGTTTTCTGCTTTTCTGCTTCCCTTCAAACATATTTTTGCTCAGTGACAAACGCATGCTAAGGGAGCAGATTCCCAAAGGCAGCGAGAGGAGTTAAGTGTAATACCTGCTAAAACACAACGAAAAACACTTTCCCAATTCAAAGTTTTCGACTCATTTTCCCACTGAAAGTTTCCCTCTGCTTGCTGCTTAGTCCACCAGCTTTAAGATAGCTCAGAAGAAAATAAAAAGCCCATTGCCTGCTCCAGCTTGGAGGTAAGAAACACAAGAGGAGCGCACCGTGCTTCTGCACCAGGTAGCGGCAGGCACGGCGCAGGTCATGGTGCAAAGCAGGTGGAAGCACTGAGGCCTCACAGCGTGCCCAGGGCACCCAGTGCCAGCCTCCAGGCTCTGCCGCTGGCTTGGCCTCCCCTCAAGGCACTGGTGGTGGCCCAAGGCCAATGTGACGGGCCCAGGGGGCAACTGTGGGCTGCAGGGCTCTCAGCCAGGTGAGTGCTTCCAGCATGGGCTCTGGAGTCACGCTGCTCCGCTTGGTGTGCAGCGCTGCGGCTGCCTTCCTGCCAATTCACTGCTACATTCGTACATTTCTTTGTAATTATGAATCGACTCACAAGGGTTAGTGCAAACCCCAGGCTCACACAGACGGGCAGACAATATACTGGGTTACATCAGCTGCTGCAGCGCTCTCACATGCCTGCAGGCTTACTAAAGCTGATCTAACCCTAATATAAAAGCCTCGTTACCCGCCTCCTCCCCCCACAATTACCAGAGGGCTGGAAAGCTATTGAAATGCAAATAGCTGATGGAGAGGGTAGTGGCGAGCCGCACTGGGACAGTGCAAACGTTGCCCTGCTAGTTTCCTTCAGTTCCACTCTTGCAGAACTGCAGTCCTGCATTTCTCTCTGTATAAATACGAAGAGAGGCAATATTGCGAAGGATGGCCTTGTTTAGGAGCCAAAGAGCATCTTCAGCTTTTAGCTTCCCCATAATCCGAGGTCCTTGCTGCTAGTCCCACAGCTCGCAGCAGCAGGGGCTCACCAGGAGGCGTTCGCCACCCTGCCCCACGACATGGGACCCACGTCCCTGCCGTGCCCAGAGCTGCCTCAGAGCCTAAAGCATCCTTCCCCTGCTATCCCACCATGTCCTGCTTTCACAGAGGAAGGACTGCAACCCCACCACAGCCTGTTTGCTGGCTGTCTCCCACGCTCTTTGCAGGGATGGAAGAGCCCTGGCACCCTGCATTCCCCAGGGGGGCTAAAACCGTGGTGCCCCAGGCGTCACCATCCCCGGGGGTGTTCAAGGAGAGGTCAGACGTGGTGCTTAGGGACACAGTTTAGCGGGTGACACTGGTGCTAGGCGATATCTAGACTGGATAATTCGGCTAAAACACCTCGGGGGGGGGGGGGGGTGTTGGGGACACACAGCAAGGCCCCGAGGCCCCCTCAGCGCCCAGGCGCAGGCCGAGGCGGGCTCTGCGCGGCCCCGCCCCGGAGGCCGGGCGGCAGAGGCGCAGCCCCGCCGCGACATGGCCGCCGCCCGCCGCCCGCTGCGCCTCCTCGCCCTGGCCGCGCTGCTGGCCGCAGGTAGGGGAAGGGGCGGCTGGCAGGGGGCCGGGGGGGCTCTGCCGATACCCCCCTCATCGTCCGAGGTGCCGCGGGGAAGTGGGAAGCCGGCCGGGGGTGTGGGCTCCGCGGCGGGCAGGGGGCTGGGGGCTCGGGAAGGGGATGGGGTTGGGATTAGGATTGGGATTGGGGATGGGGTTGGGGTCGGGGTGCTGCAGCCGAGGGGCAGCAGGGTTGTCCCACCCCCCCCCGTGACCCAGATTTGCAGCTTGCGTCCTCGCTGCTTCTGCAGACGGGCAGGGGCCAGCCCAGGCATCGGTCCCAGCGGGGCAGCGGGCTTTGCAGACAGCAAGCAACGAGCTCTTTTTTTTATATTATTATTATTATTTGGATGGTGGTGAAATCATGAAATCAAAGCCTACCCTACCTCTTCGTTTCCTTTATTTTAAAGCGCTCTTCAAAAGCAATCCGTTCCTCATTTCTTAATAGAAAAGAAAGTCCTTTTTTAAGGTCACGCAGAAAAAATAGACAACCGTTCTGCAAAAAGCCCTAGGAAAGTTCTCTAAAAACCCCTTTTGGGCGAGGAAGCAGCCCTCAGACGCGGCGGTGTTGCAGGAGGGCAGCGCTGTGATGAAGATGAAGGTGGCAGCGCCGGGGCTGGCCGTGAGTCAGCCCCGGGGTGATCTCCCTCTGGGCCCTACCTGCCGGGCACCTGCAGCGCGGTCCCAGGCTGCTCCTGCTCGCTGCCCGCATTTCCAAATGCGGGTCTCAGTTTTGGCAGGCTGAGCCAAGAGGCTGGGCGTGAAGTCCCGGTTTTGGATGAAAATGGCAAATTCGTGATTAGTCAGCAGCAAAGCTGTTTGCATCCTGCGCCGCTTGCACAGAAGAACGCTGCTCTGCTTCGGTCTTAAGTGCTGGGCTGCAGGGTCCAGCCCTTAAACATCCTTGGCTGTGCTTGCATCAAAATGAATTTCACTCTTAAAGGTTTGCAAATCATCTCTGCTGCTGCCAGGCTTTGCAGGTAGCTGAACAACGCTCAGTTTGGCCCTGTCTGAGCTGTGCTGAGTTGCCCCTCCATGGGAATGACTGCACAAGGATGAGGAGGGGGCTTGGCATTTGCAGGCTTTTCTGCACAGAGCAGGCATCAGGTCCTGCCAGGCGGCTTCAGCCTTGCCACGTGGCTCTTGCAGAGGTGCCGGGAGCCCTTTGCCAGCTGAGCACTGAAGTGGCCACAGGAGAGCACAAGGTAGCGATAAGAAGTGGGTTTCCAAGGCGGAGCTGTCCCTTGGGGCTTTCAGCCCCAGCTCCACTCTGCAGCAGTAATAGAAATCAAGTTTCTTTGGTGCTCTCCACGTCAGAGAGCAAACTATGCAGTGAAACCAGTATTGAGTGTGATTTGTGCAGCTGAGGTCCATATCAGCCACCAACACAAGAATAACACAGATTTCAGCTGCAGCTGTTCAGGAAAGGAAGAGAAAACTGACTTTTGAACTGAATAAAATATTGTAGGTTTTGCTTTGTGAAGCCTTTTTGCTCCAGAGCGTTACCGTGGAGCCTGAGCTCTTCTAGCACCTTGCATGATTTCTTAAGTCTGCAGATCTCTGGCTTCTCCAGGAAGAAGTACTTATGTTTGAGTCGTGCTAGGTTAACCCAGTGCTTGTCCAAAATGATAAAGAAAACAGTCAAGCAAGGAACTTCCCATGCTTTTGTGGCATTTTTTAGTCTCTCCTCATCATAAGCCAGGACAGAAAGGCACTGATGTTTTCATGGAAATGGCAAACGTGACACCTGGGGTCATTGCTCCTGCAGGGAGTGCAAGGTTACCTCTCGCGGGCCTCTCAGAAGGGGCCTGTCCAGGTTTTATGCTTTATATTATGCAAGAAAAACTTGAAGAGCAATTACAAAGTGATTGCAGACAGTAGAGTTTGGGGCTTCCTCTGGAGCTGCAGCATCAGCAGTGACGGGCAACTGGTGCTGCCATCCCGCATCCTACAGCCAGCCTCTGACAGATACCTCCTTGCTCAAGTGCGACAGCAATGTCCCGCCAGCAATTACAATAATTACTTAAACGAGAAAGCAATATTCGACAGTGTAATTAGCACTAACTGTTGCGCAGATGGCTGTGGTCAGTGCGGGCAGCTCCCCTGCACGCCCCGTGCACACTGCGGTGGCCGGTGGCGAGCGCAGCCGGTGCCAGCTCCTCGCCAGGCGTTTGCCCAGCTCTCCGGGCTTGCCTCTGCCACAGCAGCAGTGGTGGCAGCTCTGCCAGCGCCCAGTGACCTGCCAGCACCGCAGGGACTGCTCACCACACTCCTGGCAGCGAGGAGGAATTGCATGGCAGAGGAGCGAAGGCGCAGTTTGGCACTGCCGCCAGTGCTGAGCTAGGTAGCAGCCTCATGCGAGGCATCTACGTTTACTAAAAACCTTAGTTATTATCCACTATTATGCAATAAAATTTATAATTACTAGGTATCGGTAGCGAGTCAAAGGAATACATTTAAAGAATAATTTTTACTTTGATAGCGTTTCTGACAAAGTGGGAGAAGCTAAATTGGTTTTCTTACAAATTATCTCTGATCTTTGAACAAATATGAATTAATTAAACATGTTATGCCCGGATATTTTTGTCTGGAGCTTTAGAAATAATTAATTTCCATATTTCTGCCTGTATTTCAGAACCTCTTCCTCGAGCTTGGTGATACCTGTGCTTGGAAATGGCTATTTTACTTGGTTGATTTTTTTTTATACTGTACAAAAATGTAATTTTTCCCTTACATCTGTTGCAACCGTTTCAGCCCTTACAGCACATAAACCAGAACAGTCTATTGATCTCCAGTGTTGACTAGAATAAACTTTTAGGACTGCTCGGTTTAAAATCAAATTTGTTTCTCCTTACAAAACCATCTCCTGGAGGTTTGAGGCAGTGACTTTATAGTTAACTAAAGGAAAAGGGGGGTTTTTATTAGACACCGCTTCTGCTGCCGCTCTAATAGCAAAACATATGTTTAATAAACTACATCACACCGATGGCAAAGAGAAAACCTTTGCAATAAATCCTTTGTAATCCGCCTGCTGTAATTCACAACCGGGGGAAGAACTTGGATAGAGCGGCATTGGGGAAGATGAATGCCGCGTATCAAAAGGCAAAACATGAAAGGACTGCTCTTGAAAAGGAGACTTCAAAGCTGGGGATCCAGATGCTGGGTTTGCTAGTTGCGATCTGGGAGGCGAGCACAAGAAGGCATTTGCCAAGCCAAGAGCATTTCTCAGAAGGCAGCAGAGCCACGGCCCGAGGAGCAGCCGTGGGGCCAGGCGGGCGCAGCACGGGGCTGGGAGATGGGAATTGCTCAGCGCTTTGCTTGCTCTTTGAAACGCTCCCTGTGCTTCTGCACAGAGGAACCTGAACAGAAAAGATGTGCCAAAGGCTGGGAGGCTGCCTGACATCCAGCTTCAGGAGGACACACGTGGCTGCGGCACAGACCCAGGGTGGTCGGAGGCAGGAGGGGGAGCTTTACGAGATGCTTGATGAGACCCCGATGGCACAGCCCTAGCTCTGCCCCTGCGGGAGGGGAACGGGGCCGGCCAGCAGAAGGGGCTGAGCTGTGGCAGCAGCAGAAAGCCCTCCTGCACCTCTGCCCTGCAGTCCTGTGCCAGCAAGCCAGAGGGAAAGGCCCCTGGGTGAAAAAGGGAAGGAGGAGAGGTTTTAAGCAACTGGTGCCATGCACAGCCTCTGTGCTTGGATAAGAAACGGCTGCGCTGCCAGTGGTGGTGGTGGTGGAAGCCACCCAGCCTGTAGCCAGGAGCCGTGCCTGCCTAGTTTTGCTCTTCTTTGGCTACTTGGTTTCTTCTGCGAGCATTTTTGTGTTACCTTGGTGTTCTGGAGCTGCCATACTCTTACTTCCATTCATACTTCTGCTTCTCATTCATACGATGACCTAACGCACAGCGGCAGTGATCAGCAGCTCTCCTTAACGAGTGGGGTACCACGAGTTGTGCTCTTCTCATTGAGGTCTGAGGCTTCCTAAAAGGGTGTGGGGGAAGGAAGCAGGACTTACCTGAGAAACAGCGATCACATTGCCCTGTTGGGTAACCACAGATTGGGTCAGAAGGGCTGAGCCTTGCTGGTAGACTTCTCTGAGCTCCGGGAGCTCCTGGTTTTATACACCTAAATTATTTCATGCCAGGTGAATATCAAACCACACTGGTTCCCTGGCGAACTTCCCCAGTGGTAGGAGACTGAACCAGCAGCGCATCCCTAGCGATGAACCAACGTTTTTACCGTGTAATTCCCTATTTACCTACTTTTAACGACAACATCTTCTCTTGATCGTTATCTGATGAGAGCGATGTCTCTCCGTTGGGAATCAGGTGATAAGCACTTAATCTCCTGCCTCGGTTTTCTTCGGGCTCCTGCATCCCCGGCTTTGTCATTAGCTGTTCTGTGCAGGGTTGGGAACAAAATGCTTTCGTGCTGTAATTTGTCGGCTGGTTTATAAACAGGCATCTTTGGCCCTAGGCGAATTCCGAGTCATTACTTAACGTGTAAGCAGAAATCAAACGATAGATCTGAACGCAGCCCGTAATGGCTCTGTGTAACAGCGCTGCTTGGACAGCATGCAGAAAAGCAGGAAAATGCCTGCAGTAATGGAAGGTAAGGGAAAGGAGCTGGAAAGGAGCCGTCCACGTTTTCTGCCCTTCACTGAAGATGGCAAGCTGTGAGAGCTGGGTCTGTGGGTCCTGTGTGCTGCGGGGTGGCAGCGGATGGGCAATTCCTGCTGCCTGCTGGCCAGGAGGGCTGGGGCTGTGCGTGCCCTGCCCGGCTCCTGCTCCTCAGAGGGAGATGCTCGTGCTCAGGAACATGCAGGTGTCCTCTCCTGATGCAGTCCCCAGGGAATAACCGGAACATTTTTGGAAGGGGTGGAACGTGGCACGCACCAGGACCTCTTCTTGGGCACGAACACAAGGATCGGTTTTCTGAGCAAAGCTGTGTGGGACCCTTGTCACCTGCCCGTGGTGTGGAGATGCCGGGCAGCCTTGGGAACCCTGCAAGTTTTGTGATGTGGAGCAGGTCCTGGGGGCTGCCCTGGGTGTTCACTGTCCCCTTGCCAGGATTCAGAGCAGGGACATTTGAGGTCTGCAGCCTCCTCCCAGCTTTAGAAGGTCAAGGCACCGAAACCAGAGCTGGCAGGGAAGGAGAAGGAGCCTGAAGAGCATCCTGCTGGGAGAGCTCGTCTTCTTGTGGATGTGTCCAGAGCTGGGGCTCTTGTGGCTCTGCGGGCAGCTGGAGGTCCGTCTGTCCACCTGGGTGGGGAAAGGAGGTCTGTCTGTCCGCCCAGGTAAGGAGAGGATGCGTGGGGACCTCGGGTGGCAGCGGCTCCTGCTGGGTGCCTGGGGCACAGCCGGGCAGGTCACGCAGCTCCTGCTGGCCTTGCTGTTAGCAGGTCTCAGGCATCAGTCCCTGCACACAGAGCAAGTCTTCATTATGCAAATTCTCATCTTAAAGCTTTATTCGTGTGCTTCCTGGCAGGCTTTCCTTTAATCTCAAGAGCAAGATTGCTTGGAATTACCATATACCCTTGTTAATTGCATAAAAAAAAATTACAGCAGAGGTTGTTTTTGCCATAATCAAGAGCGATTTTGATTAGTACTTCTGGAAATCAAAATGTTTTGCTGGGAGTGGAGAACGGGGACAGCAGCATCGCCTCGTGCCCGCCAGGGGGGCAGCCGCTGCTTCCTCTCACCAAGGCACAGGAGAGCACCTTGAGATTCTCCCCTCCAGCCCCGTACCTGCTCTGGGCTTCTCTGTGCTCACCCAGACTGCCAATCTCACCCCGTTACGGGCTCCAAATTCCCCAGGAAGCTGAGCACACCCGTACTGCACAGCGAGGTACGTGGGCTGGTGCTAAGGATGGGAACGGGCGCTCTGCTGGGAGCGCCGGCAGCCTGGCAGTGCACTGGTGAGAGTTACGGTGCTGTAACTCCAGCTTTGTCAGACAGCGAGGCTTAATTAGAAAATATATATATATTAATGTACAACTGAAAAGCTGACGAGTACAATCCCGCGTGTGAGCTGCCTGCTACAGGAAATAACGAGGAGGGAACGCATCAAGGCACAAACCCCTTCTGCCTTCAGAGAGCAGCTGGCTTGGAGTCACAACACCCTGACAAGGCAAGGGGCAGCTGCAGCGCCTCACCCCTGTCCTTCCTGCCCCAGCTTGGGCATTTGGGAATGTGTTACACACTGCGAGGTGCCTGGGTTTGTTCCTTTAGGTTGCCACAGTGAAGAAAACTAGGGAAAACACATCTCATTTATCTGTTCTTTCCCCATAAACCCACAGACCTGAGGATGCTCCAGTGCCAGCTGACAGCAACCACAGGGCGAGGGCAGCACGGAGCCCGTGCACGGGGCAGGAGCTGCGTTGTACCCAGCGCTCCTTTACCTCCCAAAGGGATTTAAAAGGGGTATTTAAAAGCAGCACTGGGACCTGAGAGACGCTGCATCACCTCCTGTCCATCTGGGTGCAAAGCGTGCTTTGGTGGTGTGGAACAATGACGAAACACGGGGCAGAGCTCAGCCCTTACCTGCTGCCGTCACCAGGAGCGGTGCTTACCCACCCCGTGCAGTGCAGTGCATCTCCGGAACACTCCCTGCCTGAGCTAAGGGTGCTGGCGGCTCCAACTAGCTGGCCAGCTATCATCCACCTGTACCAACACCTGGGGGACTCCCCAACCCAAACAGACTCTTACCAGCATTACTACCAGTAGTAACACCAGGCGGAACAAGACGCGGTGCACGAGTGGCCGAAAGCAGAGCTGAAGGCGCTGCAGCGCTCGGTGCCGCTCCCTGTACAAGTTCTCCTCTGAAATGCTGATCCCTGCTTTCCGCTGGACTGGTGCATTTTCGGTGTTATTGTCCTTGTCAGTAAAGCTTTAAATTTATTCATGAAGCACGCTGGAGCTCAGGTGGCACCAGCTAAATCCATTTAGCAGTAGGAATAAGAGGAAAGCCATTTTAATGTTCTCTCGCAGTGCGGCAGTGCTTAGCAAACCCAAAGGATATTAATTACTCAGCATGCTCCGAGATGTAAAAGCATGAATTTATCAAGACAAATACAGTCAGAACTAGGGTAAGTCAACAGTAATTAACGTGATGCAGGAAAAGACGGAGAGCGGCAGGATTAGCCGGCCCGGCGGCGCAGGCCGGTTATCCCCGGGACGTGGCGTGGTGCTGAGCTGGTGCGGGCACCTCAAACACTACGTGGCCGAGTTCCTCACCCTGCTCCTGGTGCACATGGGCATGGCAGGAGGATGCAGGTGCTACCTGACATATTCTGCTGGGGTTGCAGTCAGCAGCAGCGTTTCCATCCGTGATATCCGAAGGCACTTCCCAAGGAGAGGTGCGTTCGCTCTCCTGGCTTTTCACCCAGCGTGTCGGTGGCGCTCCGGTGTTTTCCTGGTGTTGAGCAAACCTGTAATCGGGAGCCCAGCCACGGGTGAGTGGCAGCCGGCGAGATGAATTGGTAGGCTCTGCTTGACAAATCCAAGCGTAGCGTGTGTTTTTATACTGCATCCATTAAGGCAAACAAATGGAAAAGGCAGAGATGACTGCTCTGCAATTTAACAGTCACGGGATGCAGGGAAGGCTGATGTCTTCCTCACCACTGACAATGGGTCAGGTTTAGAATAAAAAGCAGAAAGCCCTCTATAAACTAAAGCAATTTGAGCAAGCGCATCTAGCCAGGCCGTGTTTAAAGGTGACTGACGCCGTGTGGAGCAAGTCAAACCTGTGCTGATCCTTTGTCTGCAGGTTATGGGGACGACACTGGGGGCTTCAACCTAGAAGATGCCCTCGGCCCTGTACCGCGTAAGTCAAATTTATTTTTACATTTATTAAAATGTCATCAATCAAATGGCGTTCCTGCACCCCACTCCTGTTCCATGCTTGGTGGTACTGGGGAGCTCCCTGCAAGCGATGCCGGCTCCTGCGATCACACCAGAAGCACCAACAGGCATCGGAGTGAGGGCTGTAAGAGGGTCTGAAACCTCTGCATCGCAGCAGCCAGACCCCGCCAGATCATTACAGCATGCTGGAATTGAAGCCCAGTGGTATTCAGATGGAAATTAATAGGAATGGAGCAACCGCAACTCTTGCTCATAGTTTATTCATACACTTGGTACCACTGATGTTAATGGATAGTGGTTTACAGGTAAAATAAAAATGATGAAAAAAAAAAAAAAGAAATCCAACCTGTAAAGCTGACAGCAGCTTGTTTTGGCGTGGGAGTGGCCAGGAGAGCTGGGCACTGAGCATTGGGGTGTCTCCTGAACACTTCCAGCTGATAGAGAGCCTCTGACACATCAGGCAGTGCTGGAAGCAAGGGTCAGCTGTAAAGCTGAGGGCACGCCAGCAAGTCCTGGCCACTCATCAGACCAGAGGTGACGCTTCCAGTGCTGCCCACGACTAACATTTCTCCCCTCTTTTGCCACAGCCACTCCTAAGGGAGCCAAGAAGCCGTCTGGTGGGACAGGAGGGAGAGGTGAGACCTTACACACGTATCATTTAAGCAAAACCCTGGGACTGCACCATGCCAGCCACCCTGCTGACTGCCTGCTGTGCTGGCAGACTCCAGTGCAGAAACCTTCGCTTGCCCATGCAGGTGCCCCAAACATAACTTTACCCGTGGTTTTCCATAAACCACCTCCCCTCGGTTTGCCAAAAGCTGTGCTGCAGTGTCTGCTTGCATTGAGCTTTTCCACCTGCACCAAGGCATCTTCTCCATCAACTATATCTGTGCGAGCCTCGACTGCTCATCTCCTCTGCCTCCCCTCCCCACCAGCATCTGTGCACCTAAGTAAATGCAATATTGATATTTCTGTCCATTCTGAAGGCAGGCGGCGTGAGAGCATTTATGGCCAAGGCTGAGTTTTGCACACTTTGCAGTATCTTGATGGGGGAGACACAGACCACAGCTCAGCTGTGCGAAGGCTTTCAGTTCTGCCCATGCGGCACCTGCTGGCTTTCCTCCCCAGAGGAGCCCAGAGGATGTCTCTGCTCCTGTTTTTCCCCCAGGACATCCCCGGCTCCCACTGAACGGCACCAGTCTGGTGACATTTTCCCACCCAGGGAAAAACCTCTGTCCCACCGTGCCGGTCAGGTGCCCTGGCTGACCAGATCCCCAGCACAGTCCCTGTTCAAAGACACTGCTTAGATTCACTCCAACGTGGGAATTTTGCTCTTGGTGACTCTTCTGGCCCGGATCTGGCCAGATGTACCCCTGAGGCACCGAGCAGAGCTGTCAGCACCACCACTTGCCTGTCTCTTCTCTTCCACAACAGAGTTTGATTTGGCCGATTACTTCGATGACCCTCTGGAGACCACCACCAGACCAGCCAAGCCAACCCCCAAGCCCTTCCCTCGGCCAGGGAAGCCAGGTACCCCACAGCCCTGCTCGCGCCCTTACAAAATTGAAGCCCTGCTGATACGTGCCCTGGGGCAGGGGGACCTGGAGCCCTTGGTGCTCATCAGATTCACATTTGGGAGAGTTAATGGGGTTTTATCTTTTCTCCGTATGCTTTCAGACAACAGCTTTGGGGACGTCATCCGCACCACCACAACCAAGCGGCCAAAAACAACGCGGCCCCCTCCCAGGCATAACCCAGGTGAGCACGAGCTCCCTGCCACACTGCTTCCAGCCTTTGCTTTGTGCATTCACAGGAGAGGTAGGAAAGAGCCCCAGAGTAGTCAAACCACACAAAAGCACCTCATGGATGGGGCACCTCGGCATCACCACACACCTCCTCTGCCCGGGGGCTTGCATTTCCCTGCCAGGGCTGGTGCTTGGGTCTCAGTGCGCCCAGCTCACAGGTTCCTGTGCTGCCTGTTTGGGCAGAGCTTTGGGCAAAAAGGCTCAACATCGGTTTTGGATGAGAAGAAACTTATTTACGAGCTAGTGAGTGGGTTGAGAAACTCAGGTTGGCTCCATTCCACATTTTTAGCTGCCATTTAGCGAAGGCAATAGAAAGCTGCTCTGTTCGAGTCAAGCTCCTGAGGATACCAACTGTGCATTTATGGAGAGAAAAAAAACAACACACTAAGCCAGGAGGTCAGAGGCAGTTCACGATGGCATGGGTGCTGCAGGACACCCGTGCCCATGCCAGCATCCCTATCATGCCACCTTTGCTCTGACCACTTGTGTCTGGTGCAATTTGTGTAATTCCTGGGCTCAATCTGTGACACAAGGTGATTTCTGTGTTTCACAACAGCAGCACTGGGGCAGGTTCAGAGCATTCCCCAAACAGCACAAAGCCGCACGAGGAAGCAGCGATGTCAGGGGCTTTGCTGCTTCCAGTGATGCTGGTCCCTGGCAAAGCTGAGCCTTTCCTTGACTAGTTGTCATCATTAAGGAGGTTCTCACACTGCTGTGGTGTTCTGTAGGGAACGACTTCGACTTGGCCGATGCCTTGGATGATAGCAATGATATGAAGGGCGGCGGGCAGCCAAATGTGAGACCTGGTGAAGGTACGTGTGGATTTCCCCTCTCCCTGCCATCCTGCTCATGACCATGCCGTCCTATCAGCCGCATGTCCCTGGGTTAGACACAACAGATTGCTGCAAAAAGTAGGGGGAGAGCAGAAAGAAAGGCGATGCCTTGTCTGGGCCACAGTGGTTCTGCTACATTCACCTCGCCCCCATACCCGACAGCTATTTAACCAAGTACTGTTGGGGTTCGCAGTCATTGCCAAGACATAAATCCAGAGCAGCCTCAGCCCTGGCACAGCACGCACCACAGGCCAGGAGACTTTTTTTCCATCTCTGAAATACTCCAGTGAATGAGTCATTTGTGTGAGAGGATTGTTCCCTCGAGCACCGGAGCTAGAAAACAGACTTTGCACGGCAGGTTTATGGATGTCGAGATGGCCGTATACCCTGCTCACACGTGTAATTAATAGTCAGGTATTTTATTAGGCTGTATTAACTAGGTGACTTGTCTGCACTTTGATATTCTGGGCTTGTTGGAGTATTAGACTCCTGCAGGAAGGTTTGAGGTGTTGAATGGCTGGAACATGGCACTCATTGTGAGCCAGCTGCTGAGCCAACAGCCGCACACTTCCCCAGCACTGCTGCACCTTGCGTTGCTTTTGACCTCTGGGTTCTAGCTTTTTTTTTTTTTATTTTTAATTTTTACACTCATTACTAAACCCATAAACCATTTTTTTTGCAGTAAGCTAGTGAGCAAGGAAGTCTCTTTCCAGGCTGGAAAGTCAAAGGTTCAATAGCTTTACTAATTCCGCCACTAACTCCCGTTCCACGTTTCTCTCGTCTTTCAAGCAAGACTTAAAGTCAATTATTACCTCTTTTATGAGCTTAAAAGAAAATAATTTGGGGTTGAACGTTTTGCTAACGCTCTGTAATTGCAAGGGAAGCAGAACGGCTCATTAACCTCTTTCTGTCCTTGCTTGGGGACAGAACAGCAGCCACTGGTGGCACCGCACCCGTCAGCCCTGCGCTCAGCCCAGGCTGCACAGAAAACCCAGCCGAGCTCCTCAGGCAGCCAGACGGCTTGTAGGGAATACTGAGATGAATACTGCAGCCTTCGCCTTCCTGAGCGAGCAGCACTTCCCTGCAGGTTGCTGGAAGCCTGCCCTGCCACACCATGCTCACAGGGCACCAGAGTCCCCCCAGAGCCCCATTCCCAGCTTCTCTCTGCTTCCTAGTAGCACCCACAGACACCAGGACAGACAGACACCAGCACAGCTGGCACCCAGCTTTCCTGACCTCTCTCACCCCGATCAAGCCACACACCGTTTTCCCTTTCCATTACATTTGCTGCTTTCTATGTTATTTTCTCCCCTCCCCACCCCGGGAAGGCAGCTGCCAGACCCCCAGCTGCAGGGGACAGTTTCCCTTCAGGCTCTGACCAGCTTTTGTTGTTATTTTTAAAGGTTTTTCAGATGACGACCTGGCTAGCATCGTGGACGGAGGCTACAGCCCTGACAAGAAGAAAGGTAAGCACGGGCCTGCAGGCAGGTCTGCACCCCCAGCCTGAGGCACAGGGATGATGGCCGAGCCATGGGGCCTCTCAGATGGCATCTGCCCCTTCTGCTGTGGTGGGGAAGGGACCCCGGGACCCCCCAATGGATCTGAAGGGATCGGGGGGCTCAGCCATGTCCCCTCACACCAGCAGCCTGCATGCTGAGGTGGCCCTGGGGCCTGGCACGTCAGCCCATGCTGTGGCCACCTTCAGGAGACACCAAAGCCGCCTTCCACCGCTTGGCAGCAGGACCATGGCTGGTGGGGACAGCAGAAGAGGCCTTCAGCCTCCTCCTTCCAGTCAGCCATGCCTGTTCCTGGCCCCCTGAGGCTGTGTGGGACTCACGTCCCCCGACTCCGGTGCCCTAACATGGCGCTGGCCCTTAAGGTGCAACCACCCATGGCTGGTCACCAGGAGGGAGCAGCAGCACTGGCTGCATCTGCACGAGGATCCACAGCATTCAACACTAAAAGCAGCCGAGTTAAAGACAATGAACAGCACAAGCACAATCAACATTTAATGAATCACCGTGCCAAGGACAAACCACACTGGAGACATTAACACAGCGCTGACCTGCTTCCATTACTCGGGATTTAAGCAGCTCACTCACAGCTACAGCTTCCAGCAGGAGCCATCTCTCCTCCCGATGCCATCTCTCCAGGGAAAGAGACTTTAAAATGGACTTCAAGCTACGTAAAGGTGCCCTGGCATGACAAGCTCAGCCAGTCAACTCCTTCTGATGGCACGGGAATGCTGTGTACCTCTGCCTGACACCTCAGTTACCCTCACATTGCTGTGAGGGCAGCACAGGAACAAGGAGGACCCCATGTGCCAGCCCAGGGGTGTGGGGTGAGCGGGGCTGCAGGTGGGACGTGGCTGGACCGGGGTCACTGACAGGCTCTCCTCTTTTGCAGGTGCCGGGGGCAACACCAACAACGAAGGTAGGGACTGTGGGGTCTTGGGGGGAGCGGGGCCATGGGTGCCCCCCACCACCCAGCGCCTTTCTGTGCCCCACAGGCAGCAGCACGGTGGAGACGGGGACCATCGCCGGCATCGCCAGCGCCCTGGCCATGGCGCTCGTGGGGGCTGTCTCCAGCTACATCTCCTACCAGCAGAAGAAGTTCTGCTTCAGCATCCAGCGTAAGCAGCCCCTGGGAGGAGGTGGGATCAGGTCAGGGGGCAGAGGTGCCTAAAGTGGGGGTCAGGCACTCCAGCAGAACGGGCACCCCTCTGCCCCCACTAATTCCCCACCCTGCCGCCAGGAAGGGGTGGCAGGGGAGAGCCCTGCCTCTGCCCCAGCGCAGCACAGGTTTACCAGACACTGTGTGTGGGCACCCGCTGCCAGCACAGCCCTGTATACATGCTTAATTCTGACCCCAAAATAAATACTAGGAGAAAAAGAGGTGACCACTCACCAGGTAGCAGTAAGGGAAGCAGGGTAACACTGAAGCAGTGCCTGCAGCCACAGCTGTGGGTGATATATCCCATCCCATCCCACCCCCTCCACAGGTGCCTTGCAATCACTGCAATTAAACACAAATTAAGCTGCCAAGCTCCCTGAGGTGCTGTAGGCATTGCTTGGGGGCATGTCACCTGCAGGCAGGTGGCTGGGGACAAGGGACCCATGTGCCTTGAGGGGCTGTCCCCGTCCCAGAAGGTTTAAGGGCAGGTGAGGGGCAGCCCCCCCAGCCTTTATGAGGCAGTTGCAAGCAGCTGGAAAAGGCTCTTTATATAAATCCAGTGAATTCTCCCAAGAGCTTCCTGTGCTCTGGGGAGGGTGTTTGGGGGCTGGAAGCTTTGGCTGGAATCGTGCTATTTTCCCAGTTGTGTCTGCAACAAACAGGAGCATTTTGGTAAATTAGATCAGCAGGGAAAGTCAAATGAATGTGATGGAATGAAACACGCTTGTATATTCCCCCCACTTAAATGATATTTTGGCAAGAATAAATAACTAAAAAAAAGAGAGCAAAGGCTTTGATGAGGGGGAAGCTGAAACACACAAAGCCCCAGAAAGGCGGCAGGAAATTAAAGTTAATTATAAAGGAGGATTAATTTAAGCCATCAGACATGGCATGCTGGGCTAATGTCAGGCCTTAGATGCATTGCAATGCATGACAGAAATCTGAGAGCCGTCAGCCACTGCAGAAGTGGCTTTTTATTGAAAAACATAAATTGCATTTGGTGTTATCCCAGCAAAACACACGGCCTGGGGGAGGCGGAGGTGGTGCGTGATGACCGCTCGCTGGAAGCGGGGAGAGCAGGCTCAGCCCTGGCGAGGAGCAGCCCTGCTCTGGTTTTCCCCTGCCAGGAGATGGGGTCAGGTCTGTCCGGAGCCGGGCAGGGGCACAGCAGAGCCCTGCCGGGCTTTGTGCCGTGTTTAGATGTGTAGAAAAGTTGAGATGGCTGCAACGTGGGGTGTGGGAGGCACAGTTACAAACTGGGCGGGAGCACCGCCTGCGACACCAGTTCTGCTTTATCCCTTACCCCTCAAAGCTGCAGAGGGACAAGGTAAAGGTGGGCTTCATCTTTCTCTGACTTCTGCTGCCCTGCTTGAAAGCGGCGCTGTGGCAGCCTCGGGGACCCTCTGCAGACCCTGGGGTTCAGTGGCAGGGGCACGTGCTGGGACATTGCTTCAGCAGCACAGCCTTGCTTTAAGCTGCTTCTTACAGCTCTGCATAATTCAGCTTTTAATGAGAAATACAGCACGTGTCTGTGCTTAGAAGCAGCCCCTGCTGCATAGCAGTCCCTCCTGGAAGAGGTACCAGGTCTGTGCACCTCTGCAAGCTGAGCCGTGCTAGCACAGCAATTAGCCTCGCTGCCTCCTCGCATGGTAAAGGTGAAGCAAGAGACTCAGAAAAAAGGGATGGGACTGGAAGCTCTGCCTTCTGAGAGAGCCTCTGTGGTTACTTGAAAGTCCGACAGCGCTTTCTCAGCTGCGTGTCATGGTTTAGTGATGTTTCTCTATTGCTGTTAATGCAGAGGAGTTTGCAAAAAAGCATCTTAGCTTTTACAGAAGATAGGCCCATTACTAGAGATTTTAAAGCATCAAAGCAAATCATTTCTGCTTCCTACCCTCCCACCTCACTCTCTTTATTGTTACTTCTCAGAGGGACTTAACGCAGAGTATGTGAAAGGGGAAAACATGGAAGCTGTCGTAAGCGAGGAACCCCAAGGTGAGAACTTTGCATTCCTTAACCTTCCTGTATCTGGCCACAAAAGCAGCTGTAGTGAAGGACTTCCTTAAAGGCGCTCACGCTGCACTGAGCTAGCGTCTCTTTGAAGACACTACTTAGGTTATGCCGCAGCTTTTTGTAAAACATCCACTACAATGTCTTTCCCTCTTCATTGTACACAAAGGAAAGCCGTGATAAGAGACCAAGGATCTCATTCTGCAAACGGTGGCAGTTAATATTTAGCTTTCATGTTTTCAGCCATCAGAAGTGTCTTACACAAGAAAAGCGTGATCCTTCTTTCGGTGACAGATAATCAAGGCTGCTGTAAAAGCTTTTCCAAAGTCAGATACAACCAACCAGTATCTGGCACCCGTTGCTTGCACTTTGTTACTATTGTGTGCTATTGTATTAATGATTTTTTTTTTTCCTCTCCAGTTAAATATTCAGTACTGGAAACACAGTCAGCAGAACCACCAAAACAAGACAGTGCAAAGATCTAAAGCGTGGCCTGGGGCTAGAAAAGAATCAGTCAGCAGCAAACACGGAGATCTTACATGCTTGTAATTTAGCTTTTTATTTAATTTGAATCCAAAGCTATTTAATGTGTACTTAGGCTTGGACTGGCTTCTTATTGCTCTAGGCTTTAGGGTTAGGATGGTAGTAGGTGTTGTTGTTGTGTTTGTTTTTTTTTTGGTAACAAGCTATGTTTACATTGAAGTAATACTGTAGGTTTGGTCTCAAGTTGTATGCAAACCAACAGAAGGTGCTTCAGCAGTGGTCAATTATCACAAGGTCTTTTTCAAGGAGAATTGCTTACAGGTGTGAGGACAGTGAAGTGCCTGTGAATAGCAACCCAAAGCAAACCATTCAAAACCCTTAGTCAGTCACCTCCAGCCAACTTCTGCCATCAGTGATGGGCTGTCACTTCTGGCAGCAGCGATGAAAACCACGCGTTTCCTGAGGGTAGACTGTGGTCCTTAGTGTACCCCTACCTAAAACCAAGTGCCTCTGGGTATGTCCTCAGGTGGGGCCTCAGGCTGAGGCAGGTGAGTCCCTGCTCCCAAGCCAGGAGTTGGGGATGCTCCACCTCCACGCAGCGCTGGGCTTCTGACCAAATCAGAGGACCTGATCTTCATGCCAAGTTATAAACACAGGTAACAGCAGTGTGTGCAGTGCTCACGTGCAGCAAATAGCATCTGAATGCTGGGCTGTGGTAGAGATGGGAAGAGAGTTACCAAGTGGCAGGGTTTGTCTGTGACATGAGATTCCTGTATTATCACTGAGACAAAACAAAAACTGTGTTCAGACGCTTTCAAGGATGGATTGAGATCTCGTCCATAGAGCAAACCACAGATTTAACCCAAAAGGAAAGAAACAATGTGTGCATCTGAGATTTCTAACTCACTGCCACTAGAGTTGTAGATAGAGTTCTTCACCTTCTCCTCTGATCATTACACAACTACTGAGAGCATTTCCTGGCACGTTATGTAGAAAAAGGAGACAAAGCTGCATCCTTTGGGTCACTACTAACCTTTATAAAAAGGCTGGGTGTCCTGAGAGGATGGGGTCTCTGCTGCTGTCCCACGAGGGTCCTGCAGCTCTCTGTGAGCCTTGCTCAGCAGAACACTACTCTATTGCCAGGAGAGCACCCCTGTGCCACACTGGTACTGCTATCCGGACCCAAGCACTATATCGCAAGAACTAGTTTTCATACTTCCTCCCCAACCCTTTCTTACCGATGCTGAAATGTGGATACAGCTACCTTCTGATGCATTTTTTTCCCAAAGCAATGAATACTTGAAAAAGCATGCTCTGAAGTGAAGGAAAATTCACTTTGCCTAGTGTAAAAAGTACTCACTATTTATATATAAACCTAAAATGTGTGCATTTTGTAATGTTTTGCAAATCCCAGATTGTGTGAACGTGAACTAAAAAAAGCATTTCCAGTTTGATGTACAAATTCAGAGCTTTCAGCTAGACATGACTTACACGAGGCCTTGCCAATAGGTGAAGGAGCCCAGGAGCATTTCTCTGGAACGGCTCAATTTGAAAGGAAATTGCCCAGTAACATTGTAAGTATTTTGCAACAGCTGCACAATTCTTTATGCTCTTCTTAACACTTGCATTTTTAAAGCCTTACACTAGCTCAACAGAACAACTACAGCATTTTATAAGGGAGATAAGTTCTAAGGATATATGGTGCCTGACATAGATTTAGAACACTTTATCTACAATACAGCTGTTGACTAACTACTGCTCCTTTGTTTTATGAATGTGTTGGGGTTAGAAAAAATATTATTGTTCGTTCTGAGGCTGTAAGCAGAAGAAATAGATATGGAATACACTCGGTATTTTTGCTTAGTCTTGGAGTAAGACTTCCACGGGGGAGCGTGGTCTGCAGAATTCTGACCAACCCGTGCAGGAGGTCTGATTCTAGCGAAGCCACGCATCTCCATTTGCAAACACCATCATCTATTTTTTTCTTTCTTAGCCAAACATATTTGAAAGCTGTAGCATGAAAAATGTTTTTTTTTACAAAATGATTATAGGTAAAACGTTGCAACGTAGCATTGATGAACACTAGGAGTCATTTTCCTAGGTTAGATCAAGCGAACGTAATTCCGTTTCTTTTTGCTGATGACAGTGCTTGCTATAGATGCAGATCATCAGTTTTAGCGCATTCCTCTTACAGTGCACTCCCGGTTTCTCTGGTGGATAGTGCAGTGGGTGTTCAGGATTGCTTACAGGCTGTAACACCCTCCATTGGGATATTATTGTACTAGGACATACAAGAAACAGGCATGTAATTCACAGATACTGCAGTTTGTTTTTTTTTTTTTTAAACTTTCACTGAGAAAAATACCAGCTTTTGGAATTGAGAAGCAAACAGCACTGAAGTTGCTCCTTTTCTCCTTTTCATGAGGCCTTTTTATGACTGGTGAAAACTTTGTTAATATGATTTCTAGGTGTAGTATGCGGAAAAAAAACAAATGCACAGTGAAAGGGAGCACTTTTCCAGTTTAGAGTAACAGAATTCAAAAATTCTTTCTCCAGCATTTCAAATGGGAAAACATTGACAAACACTGCAGTAAAGAAATTACTTCAAAACAAGTGCACAAAAATCAAAGCCTTCACGTGCTAAATGTCAGCTAAGGCTCAAAATGCTGCTTTGTTGCAGTCTGTTTCCTTCTCCACCCGAGCTGTCAGATCAGTGTCTGAGAAGCAGGGAGTTCATACTTCACGCCATTGTTATCTCAGGCATTATAGCAACTGAGAGGGTTCGTTCATGTTTTCCTAGTAGTGATACGAGTTCTGAAACAACTGACACCTCTGTAACTATCTTCATTTAATTAGTATCCATTCTCTTTAAACATGGATATTGAATTTTTAAAAATTTTGCACTTATATTCTGTATACACGGTGTGAACTTTCTCATCCTTTATTTAAAAAAAAAGGTGTAAGATATTAGAAAAGCAGGATTTTTTTTTTAGGAGTCCAAAATTATGTATATACATCTGTCCTGAGAGTTTAAGTAAAACTGTGCTGTGGGCTTTTTTTTTTTTTTTTTCTCATCACACCCCACATTTTTAACTAAAGCTACTTCTAATGAAATGGTTGAGAAGAGGTTTCACAATTACATAGGAAACAGAGAATTGAAGGAACTTAACCAGCTTTTATTCCGTTGTTTATTCTGTTAATTACTTGCATTTTCCTTCAGCACAATTGTAGAAGGTTCTGCATTTATGGTGCTGTGACATTAGTTTATTCAGTATAGAATACTGTGACATGAATTTCAGTGTTTTTTTTTTTTTTTTTCGTTTAAATAAGCTCGGTCATTTCCATCCAGCCCCTTTAAGGAACCCTTACAACTGCTATATTTGTCATTGTTAACTATTCACTTGTTGTGATAAAAATGGAATTAGTCCACAATGCCGTTTCTAATTCTGCAAAAGCAAAATGACTAGACAGGCTAAGGCCTTCAGATTTGCTTCAGCAACAAATGAGGCCCAGGAACAAATCAGGTTCAGGAACAACAGCGTTGTGAAATTAGAGAATAATTTCTTTTGAGTGAAATCCTTATCTAAAAGCAAAGCCTATTGTTTACTGATGCAGAAGTGATCTGTACCAAATGAAGGTTGAATGTTCTGCTGTGAAAAGATAAGACTCATTTTGCTAATGTGCATGTAAGGGTCATGGGGGGAAATATCAGAATTTGACAACCTTTGGAAAACAACAAATAAACTGTCTAATAAGACATGAGAGACTTGTGTTTTTTTTTTTTTTTCATGTTGCAAGTAAACTGTAAAAGGTGGACCATATCCTTTTTACATATAACCTCTTCTGTAACTAAAAACTTTAATAAAGAAAAAAACACAACACATAACCACTCAAAACATCCAGAACCAGTTTTCTTAGTGAGAAAACACCTGTCATTACAAAAGCTTTAATATTGAAGTATCGAAACACACATACACACTGTCCCTCTCCCTCCTCAGCCTACCGAGCAACTAAACTCAGGTAATGAATGCCCTATAATCCATGGCTGCACTCACTAAAGCTTAGTTTTCAGTCCATTTCACTGCCATAGGTCTCCTGCCGTTTTCTGTATATTTTCGTATGCAGGAGATGAATCTCCCATGCAATGCAAAGTTAAGTTTTTGGCCTCCATATAATGATGCAGTGCTTTATATCAGAATTAAACAATGTGTTTTACACTTCAACCTACCTACTTCTGACTCTTATTTCTTGTAAAAATAAAATTATCTCTTCCTGACTGCACATGATCTGGCAGTGAAGAGATCTCTGATAGGATATCCACTTAGTTCAGATGTGATCGCTCAGCAGATGGACATAGCTTTGTGCATTTTAACACAAGAAAGTTTATCTCAAATGGGAAATACTCTGATTTTCCCATTTTACTTTGTCCTCTGCCGTGGGGCTCACTCCACTTGAATGGGAGTTGTTGATCCCTTATTTACAGCTCTTCAAAACCCAGCCATTCTCAGTGTTACCAAATACTGCCTATGACTTAGTACAGCTTTTCTTGAAAAATAAGAGAAAAATCAAACACTTCTTGTTTAAAGCATCAGCTCCTTGAGAGGAAGGCTGCCAATGCAGGGAACAAAAACAGGCAGATAAGACTGTTTACCAACTTTAAAAGCCTTCTTCCATTTTTCTGAGAAATAATCAACAAGAAAAAAAAAGACTTTATCTACAAAGGAGGAAAAAGGGTAATTAAGCTCTGAAACTGGACTAAGATGGCAAAGTGTCTGATGCTGATGATTCACTTAACTTACTTCACAAGCAAAAAATGTTTCAATTGCTTACCACAGCTTCAGCCCATTCTGGTATGCTGGATTCAGTTTGTTCTCCCTCTCACATGTCATCTACATGAAGAAAACCCTACAGGTCAAATTTAACTGCTTTCTGTCTTTTTGCACGTTCCCTTTATGCTTGGTAGAGTCAAATCCGAAAAACACAAAGCAAAAGATCCAGGATTAGAAGTTAACAGTTCTGTTCATGGCACATCAGACGGGGAACAAGGTTCTGCTCTTTCTTCAAACAGTTCAAAACTGGCTGCCTTATTAAAAAATATAAAAAGGGATGGCACACAGTTGTTGAACCAATATGAAAAAAAAACCTGAATATTAGGAAGCAGACTAAACACAGAGACTGTGTATTAATCACTTATTCAGAATAAAACTAGGTTTTAACTAGCATATATAGGCTGTTTTTGAAAATTACCATGGTAAGTGTATACAAAAACATCCATTGTGCTTACCCAGATTTATAGCAGGATCCCTCCCCCACTGATAGCCCTTACGGTCAGAGAAGACTCACTGAGCTATGTTGAAACTTGTGGAGGAACAGGCAGGCACAGTTGAAATAACTGGTAGTCTTCTCGGCGGAACTGAATTCTCAGATTTTAGCTCTGGGAATCTAAGCTTTTAAAATCTCACAATGCCTAAGCTAATCCAGTCATCACTTTTACAATAATTATAGAGGAAACGTTGTGACTATTAGCACCAATAAAGAGAAAAACTTCAAAAGATCTTCTTTAGCACTGCATTTGAGAGATAAAGTGCTTTGCTTTAATATACAGTTAAAATGTCAAGGAAATCTTAAGTATGGAAGAGTTTAATTAAATACCAGCTCAACATATTTTGGCAATGTAAAATTCACTGCTGGCATACTAGTTAGCAGAATCATTTTTACAGCAAAACATTTTTTTTCTATTTATAAAAAGCCTGAGGTTGATTAAGAGATGCCACATTGCAAACGTCCATAAACTTTGTTCCTGCAGGCCGGTATCTATTATAAAGTGTATTTACTGTAACAAAAAGGAGATGTTGACATACCCTGTGCTGCTCAGTAAACTTGCAAGAATGGATACAACACATCTGCCTTTCCAGTTGGAGTTGCGAAAGTGCTAAGCAGCTCGCTTTACTCATTAACTAAATGCTCTGTACATGAATGCAGAGAACAGAAAAGGGACATCTTATATTAAGAACAAATGTGCAGACTACTCACAGACAGCAAAACCCACAATCGGCATACAGAACCAACTCAAGAACAGGGCTTAATTCCCATCAGCAGAACTTGGAGCACGAGTTAAAAAGCAGAGCTGCAGCACTTAAGTATCTTAAGGAGAAGAGCCAGATTCTCACGAAACACAGAGAGGAAAACAAACAAAGGAAAATTGTCAGTGCGCATCATTTCTGGGTCTTCCAAGGAGTCCACTGAAAATTTTTCAAAAATTTGGATGTTAGAGTAACCAGATTTCCCTAATATTAATATTTTGGGTGAATATAAAAAAGATGGGAATGCGTATTTTATATGATAACAAAGATACATTATTCACTCTACAGAAAAAAATGCTAGTGGCAACTTAAAAAACAGAAAGCCAACCGGCTTTATTTCAAGCAAACCAATTAAGCTCATATTTAAAAAAAACTTTGTTTGACAAAGTCATTACAAGTTAAGGTCTTTGAAAGAGTTTGGATAGGCAGGATCCATTTTCTGAACGTAGAGCTTAAAAACACGGGAGTATGCATATGTTTAACATCACATACACATGTATATATAAAGGACACAGCTTCGCATTTTGTGTGTACACTTCAAAAGAAAACACTTAACAAAATGTGGAGCTATACAGACTATACAATTTACACAGGTGGGTGTCATTTCAACCCCAAATATTACCATTTGCTAGAAAACACTTTTATTTTGTACAAGACCTTGACATGATTAAGTTTACTCCTCACTCAGGAGGCTGAAACTGAACAATAAACTAAGCCGTCAAAAGACTTTATTTCAACTTGTACAAAAGGCATTAAAAAACCTAAAATACATGCTTTACCAAATATATTACATCATACAAGTCAGCGTGGTGTTTTTGACAAACCTAGCTTCATTTCATCCACTTTTAATGGCATATTTAGTTGAAATGCAGAACTGACTACACTGGAAAACATTGCTTTAAACTGGAAAACATTACTTTAAAATCGATTTCCAAGTGTATCAATTACCTTAACACAATTGCTTTAGCCAAAAAAAAACAACAAAACCAACAAAAAAACAACCAACTAAAAAAACCCTGTGTGAAATAAGGAGCTCCCATTCAGAAAAATGTTCTCAGTGTTCTGTGTAAGCATCACGTGTCATTTTGTCTGATTCTCCCAGCTAGACATGGTACCCTCGGCAGCATGAGAGGCATTTTTCTGTCTGCTTGGCAGATGGATTCCTTTTTAGGATGGTTAAATTGTTAGTTGCTCAAAACCAAGTTTAATTTCACAATTGGTGATTTAGCTAGAGTTGTCAAAACACGTGGGAACTGCCAACAAGAAAATACATCACATCTATTGAAGCTCTTTTTGGCCTCATCTTGATAATATCAGACACAGTAAGGCATGTAGATCATAGCAATTACAAGTCACTCACGATCCTTGTGTGATAGGAAAAACATTTCCCCCTCCTCTCTGTATTACCTGACATAAACTGCGTAACAAAAGCCGTGTGAAGCATCACACAGAAGTGTGTACCGGTGTTGCTGAGTGGGAAGGAGATGAACCTCTATCGGAGGAGGAAGAAATGGACCGCGTGGCAGCTTCCCGCTGCAGATCTTCAACCTTCTTCTGGAGCTCAGACCGGATGGCAAGGAGCTCTTTGAGATTCTGATGGATTGGAACCTGCAGGTGAAGAAAGAAAAGGTTTATGTTGACTCTAATAATAAGTTATCTTCTCAAGTAATGCTTCCACTGCTTTCTGCAGTAAGACAACAAATCCAACAGCTACGATTTTCAGTCTATCAGTATTTAGTGAGGGTTTCCTTAGTCATTTGAAATGAAGCATTTCAAACCATCCCTTTCTAACAACACAGTTGGCAGGAGGCCAGCTGAAAAGACCGTTTGCAAAGCGAGCTGTTGGGATAGCACACACTCCAATAAATGTACTTCCCTGAGAACTATTTCCTCTGCCTGCTGGGACAGAACTTGTTATGCAAAGAGAGCAGAGTTCACAAAGCTGGCTGCATATGGAACATCTTGTTACTCATCCAGCCAGGCGCCTTTCCAAGAATCTGACCCCTTCCAGCACAGCAGTGAGAGAAGTGCACCAGGCAAGCCAGTCAAACTGCATCTCCTGGAGCCACACGCTGATAAACCTTTTGCAGAAGTGTCTCATACAGGTTGCTGCCTCTGCTGCTGACTCGGGCCATGGGTCTGCATTGAAGTTCTAGACAGACTTCACATTCTCCTGGAATACTCAAATATATCACAGACAAAGGAAGACCCAAGTTATGTTGCTTTTGCAGCTGGATCTGTTTTCTCAGACAAGCAGAGAGAGACCTCCCCTTCCTCCAAATGGCACAGAAAGCCCAAAAAAGTTTGGCTGTCAATTGCTTTTAATTTATTTCATTCTCTATAAATGCTGAATTGCTTACAGCTTTTGGAAAGCGCAAGATGGGAAAAGAATTTATTTGGGCTGTCAAGACAATCACAGGGAAATGCAGCACTGGGAAACCCAGAGCTTGCTAGACATAATAAGGAAATTATACCCTGGGCTTCTGGAATGCCAGGCTCCAGGGAACTGTGTTCACCAGGATCACTCCCTACTGCTCACAACTATTTGTGGGGCTGGGATGCACACCTGAGCCTGAAATTCTCACGTGGTGCTAGGTGAAGATGATCTCAAAAACCAGAAAGGGTTTCTCTCCTTGCTGTCAACACACAGCAGAAGCACAATTTAAGATTTTGCCAATC